GAAGCCTCTTGGATGAGGGGCGAAACGTTTCTTTTTAACAAAAAAAAACGAAGTCCAGATGACATGATTCAACCTTTTTTGTTGTTTCTATATATATATATTTTTTTTTTGCTTTGATTTGCTTTTGTTTTTTTGAATGTCCAGAGGACCAGATTTAACTTTTTTGGATTTTTCTACCTGGATTATTGAGCATGCATCAGGAGCCTTTTTATACATTTACCATGTCCTGGATGACTGAAGACCTGCACCAGCATGCAGTTACAAATGATTACCTAATCAAAGCACAAGATCTTGGCTGAAGACTATTAACTGTTAAAGTCAGCTCTGTTTGTCCGTTGGCAAAATATCTCATGAACTTCTTACAATTACTGAGCAAAATTTTACTGTATATGGTAGTAGCTGAATGTCATTACAACATATATGTGACGTCCATGCATGAAATCACATTATCATATATTCCTCATATTTTGACCAAAACAACTATAACTTCGTACTTTATCGGCAAAAAGTAATCTTGGTCTAAAACTCTAGCTTGTGGGGCGTGATGGCCGATGGGCATTCCTTCAAGTAAAGCTAAGCCCTCCATTTTTTGTCCCACCAAAACTTTATATTTTAGTTGGTAATAAGTAGTGGTGTTCCAATGCTGATTCTGGTATCGGGCCTGATAGCAGCATTTTAGCAAGTACTGTATTCATACTAAAAAAAAAAGCCCCAACACCTGGAACTGATACAGATTATATGCTTGATGGTGCCATTTCTGCTTCCGCTGCGCAAGTGACCGAGGGTTAAAAACATGTCTGCAGTTTGGAGATATTTTAAGATAAACACGGATTATATTAAAAAAGTAGATTGTCTGCTGTGCTTAGCTAAACTGTTAAGAGGAGGGGTGAACAACAGCAGTTTCAGCATTTTGGGGCGGCTGTGGCTGAGAGGTTAGAGCAGTCATCCTCCAATGGGAGAGTTGGGGGTTCAATTCCACCAGCAGTCACATGTTGAAGTGTTCCTGGGCAAGACACTGAACTCTTCATTGTCTCCAATGTGTGTCCCATCCATGTATGAATGTGATAAAGCTCTGATTAGTCTCCACATATTCAAATTAGCTTTGCATAGATCTAGTAGGGTGCTGTATGAATGTGTAAATGAGGGCACAGATTGTAGTGTAAAGTGCTTTGAGTGTCTTGACAAGATGGAAAGGCGCTAGTACAGTCCATTTACCATTTCAACACACGTAATTCCATTAAACACCTGAAAACGAAACACAAGGATTCAAATTTTTAAATTGTCATTCACATCACATGTGGTACACGAGGTGGAACAAAACTATGTACATAAGGTCCCAGTTACAGCCAACACAAATACAAATTGGAAAGAAAAAAACAGTAGTAAGATCCGAGACATGAACTAAGAAATACACTACATTCACTAAACTAAGAATACACTAAACTAAGAATACAGTAAACTAAGAATAAATACACTAAACTAAGAATACAGTAAACTAAGAATAGTACAAAACTGTGCCAAACAACAGCAGCATGAACATGAGTCTGTGAGCAAATGAGGATGAATGAACACAACAACATGAAATAAATCAGCAGCATGAGATCAGCATCATGGATAGTCAGCAGCACATAACAACCAAGTAGCATTATAGTGAATTTTTTCCACAGTGATTATTCTGGTTAGTGATTCATGAGTCTAACAGCCTCAGGGTAGAAGCTGTTCCTCAGCCTGGTGGTTCTACACTTAATGCTCCTCAACCCCCTGCCTGAGGGGAGCAGGGCAAAAAGTGTGTGTGCTGGGTGAGTGAGGTCCTTCATGATGCAGGTGGCTCTCTTCCTGCATCTGGAGGTGTAGATGTCTGTGACGGTGGGGAGACTGACTCCAACAGATTTCTGTGCAGCCTTCACCACTCTCTGCAAAGCTTTTCTTTCTGCAGCTGTGCAGCCTCCATGCCACACGTTGATGCTGGAGCACAGGATGCTCTCCACTGCACACCTGTAGAAGGAGGTGAGGACTGAGCTTCCCAGACCAGCTCGCCTCAGCCGCTTGAGGAAGTAGAGTCTCTGATGAGCTCTCTTGATCAGGCTGGTGGTGTTGTTGCCCCAGTTGAGGTTGTTATTCAGGTGTACACCCAAGTACTTGTAGCTGGAGACCACTTCCACCGCAGATCCTCTTATGTTCGTTGGGGGTGTGGTAGGTGTGTTTGCTCCTTCTGAAGTCCACAACCATCTTCTTCGTGTTCTTCACATTGATGTGAAGGTTGTTCTTCCTGCACCAGTTGTCCAGGTGTTCCACCTCCTGCCTGTGGCTGGACTCATCATTGTTTTTGATGCATCCAATCACTGCGGCTGTGGCTGTGTGGTTAGAGCAGTCGTCCTCCAATGCGAGAGTTGGGGTTCGAATCCACCAGCAGTCACATGTCGAAGTGTCCCTGGGCAAGACACTGAACCCCTCATAGCCTCTGATGTGTGTCCCATCAGTGTATGTATGTGATAAATCTCTGATTAGTCTCTTTAGAATGATTTATTCAATTAGCTTTGTAGAGATCTAGTAGAGTGCTGTATGAACAGGTAAATGAGGCACAGATTGTAGTGTAAAGTTCTTTGAGTGTCTTGAAATAAGATAGAAAGGCACTATATAAGTACAGTCCATTTACCATTTACTGCTGTATCATCTGCAAACTTTACTGTATGACAGCCTGGATGGGTCAGTGCACAGTCATACGTTAGCAGAGTGAACAGTAGGGGGCTCAACACACAGCCCTGGGGCTGAGTTCAAGGTGGAGTTCAGAGAGCTAGCAGCACATCACAACCAATGCTGCAGCAAGTTCTCCAGAAACGTGAAAAAATGGCACCAGACAATCCACGTGTGGTGATGATAACTGAAGCTCTTACCCAGTTCATCACTCTTGACGACCATCATATATAAGATATGTACCCGGCACCCTTCAATATCATGAAGGGTGCCGAGGATGACCAGAGACGAATCCAGAGTCTTGAAATGATGACAGAATGTTTATTCAGCTGGGCTCCTCTGAAAAGCCCATGGAAATTCCTCAGTAGTAAGGGAGGGAGGGGCTGAGCATCAGGTTTACAAAACTTTCCAGGCGTGTTGAGATAAGATGGCCTCTCAAGGCCAGTCAGGGAGCCGAATTCAGATAAACACGATTGTTTTGGGGACAGGCAGAACTTTAATGACATCTACCTTGAGTCTGTGTTGGTCCATTCGCTTCCGAAACGTCCAAATTAAATGACCACACCAATGGAACGTGCCTGAGAATAATCCCCGAGATCTGATTCATCTTGCCAAGAGTCTGGGTGCTCGAGGCACGAAACAATCCATCATGTAAGGCAGGCAGGTGACCAGGTCCAGATTTGTTGCCGACGACTTCCTTGTTTGTTGATAGACCAGGAACCAGCTGAATCCAAAAAGCAGGAACCAGTTATCATAAATCCAATTATAAATGTGTCCTTAAAATCTGCAGATGACAGCAGAGATAGACACGTCATCAAGTCTTCAAAGTTGATGAGATATCCAGCTGCGTGTGTGCCAACAGGGCAAATCGGCTCACCTAAAGCCTGTCTTCTCTTCAAAGAAATGTTATCAATTGTGTTGAGGGACCAACTGACCAGTCCATAGTTATGATTCTGAAGATTTGTAGAAGAGAGGCTCTAAAGAAGTTTCACAGACAGGACAGAGCAAAAGCAAAGTGGAGAGGGGAAGGAGGAGACGTCCACCCTTGAGGAGAGCAAGTGTTGAAGTGGACATTTTAAACACTCCACCTTAGCTTACTCCCGGACTAGGGCTCTAAGTAAGGAAAGCCATCTTGTTCTAAATAAAAGAAATGTGTTTTTAAGTCATTGTGTAATGTTTCTGTTCTAACTCAGTAAGTACTTGGTATCAGTACTCGATATTGACAAGTACACAAAATGAAGTACTTGTACTCGTACTCAGTTTGATAAAAATTGGTATCGGGCCACCCCTAGTTATAAATAAATAAATGAACAACTTGACATTAAATGTTCATATATTTTTTCCAGAAATTTACAAGTTCCTTGAAGATTCAGAAAGCTGAGGCTCACGCCCTCTACAGATGCACAACTGCCAACAAAATAGGAGCGGATTCACGAATCATCGTTTTCAGTGTGACACGTAAGGACTGTGCTTTTCCTTCCCTCTTGCCTCATTTAGATCTTTTTATAATCTTAAGACCTTTTTGTCTGTACCCTGTTAGGCAACATCGAGGTGAATATGTCTCCGTCCGATAAGCCCATGGAGGGGGACAACGTGGTTCTGCGCTGCAAGGCAGACAAGCTGATCTACAGCAACCTTACTTGGCTTGCTGTTACCAACATGTCTGAGTTGGTTGAGTCGGCGCAGCCTTGTCACTCGCTGACTCAGCGCTCCAGGCCCATGTTGCAAGCCGTCCAATCAACACTACAGGGCACCAACATCACCCTGGAGCTGACCCTGCCCAACGCTTCCCGTCAGGATGAGGGCCTTTACGCCTGCCAGGTGGTGAACATCAAGACGGCCACGAGAACCTGCATCCTGCGCCGGCTGACTCTCAAAGGTCCGTGTGTTTGCACACTTAGTACACTGTACACATAGTCATTAAAAAAACAGTTTGTCTTGTCGAAGACAGACAACGTCCATGTTTTTGTTGAAAATTTCACAACTTTAGCTTGTCCAATGCAGTTGTAACTGTTGGGTTGTTTTACTCTTTTAATCCTTTATATGATTGACGTTAGACCTTGAAGCTGCGAGGATTCGTAATAATTTCACTGACCAAAAAGTCAACATGAGTTCGACCATCACTCTCCACTGTGATGCTGTTGGAACACCAAACCCAACAGTGATGTGGACCAAAAACAACCTAACAGTGGAGGAGGGATCAGGTGGGACACACAACTTTACAGCAACAATTTATAACAAACTTTATGGGTCAAAGCGCTCGATAAATAAAATCTGTGAATCGGCTGCTTCCAGGTGTGATTCTGAACCAACACAACCTGACTATTCAGCGTGTGAAGAAGGAGGACAGTGGTCTGTACACCTGCACTGCATGTAACAGCCTCGGCTGTGACGCCTCACAGGCCTACCTGACTGTTGCTGGTCAGTAAACTGTCATGAAGTTATGCTTGTTGAACTGTATTATACTGAAAACCCAACAGGAGCTGGAAGTTGAAGTCATCAAAGGAAAAGCCCCCACTAGTGATTGGCTGCAATACTATTTTAAAGCCCAACCTTTCCATGCAGAGCACTTTCCTAACAAAACAACTTAGTTTGAATTAGCTATTCGAGTTCAATGTGATTGACAAGCCTGTTAGGGAGTTGTGAGGGTGTGTCGGCAGGACTGCCATATTGCTCATACAGCTGCAATACTTAGTGCACAAAAATACAACTTGGCAGCTCCCAAAAAATAGAGATAATGGCATAAATCAAAAACAATGGGAGTAAGGAGAGACACTTTGTTGGCCTATGTTAATCTTAATGGTTTGCCTAAAGAGTCAAAGCATCCAACTGAAGTGGGGCACTCTCAGGTCTCCTCTGAATCAGGCATGTGCACAAATATTAGCTGTACAGTTCAGTTGACACATGCGCAGAACAACCTATGTAGAACAGCATAAACCATCATTTATTGTTTGGCCCACCTGCATTGTTTCCCTTCAAGTACCTGCTGGTGCTGCCAGGCCAGCACTGTGAATAAGAATTTGTTCTTAGTGTTTATGTCTGGTTAAATAAAGGTGAAATGAAAAAAATGAAGAAGAAAAAAAACTATAACATGACTTTGTTACTTTTATGTTACTTCACATCTTGCATAAAGATCTTTTTAAATTTATCCTTACTATACCGATGAGAATGTAACATGGGGAGTGGTGGCACAGAGGTTAGAGAAGGTGGGCTTGTGATCAGAAGGTTGCCAGTTTGACTCCCCGTACCAACAACATCAAAATGTGGGTGGGAAAGGTGAAACACCCAGACCTGCCTCCACCTTCATTTGTCCCCACTCTGGGCCCTTGAGCAAGGTCTTTAACCCCCACCATCTGTTCCCCCAGCCATCTTAGATGGCAGCGCCACACACAGGGCTGTGGTAGCTCGGTGGTCTGTGGTTGTCAGGAAGGACATCCGGCGTAAAACCAGTCTTCGTGTGAGTTAGTTCATTGTGGCGATCCCTGAAGAAGGGAGCAGCCAAAAGAAGTAAAAAAATATTGATGAGAAGGTTATAGCCCGACTTCTTTAGACACTTGAAGTCATTAATAAAAAACTACGTATGACGTATGATTATAACAAAACTGACAGTGATAAATTGACAAAAAGATTGGCTTTTCCAAACTTTGACATTAAAAACTTATTTTGTTGTTGCCCTCAAATCTACTTTTCACACTTTTTAAATACATTTGGCTGTTGGAATATTTTAGATTTTCTCATTTATTTTAAACATTTGCAGCAAACTACAAGAAGCAACAAAGCAATTCCACAGTCTGATAAAACATATTTCCACTGTGTTTTGCTGTAAACATGATGTTTTATTCTCGTTGTACCTGACGTTGTCACCTGGAAATGAAACAAGCACATTTGTTGCATTACTGAAGTGTTCAACTTTAATTTCATGAGTCCCTATGGTGAAAAAACAAAGCTATTCAGTATCTAGTTCTATGGTTCAAAATTATATCTAGTTTATATTTTGTATTTGTATTGCTTTACTTAAAAATACAAAACAAATTCAATTTGACCTTATTTATGTTGTCTTTATTATCTTTCTGACTACACAGAGGTGTGTAATTTTTGTATTGTTGAAAATATACTTTCTTGTTTTCCATTTTTGAAGGATATTAGACATATTTTGGATGCCAGTAAGTTTGATAAGCACTATTGTTTGTGTCTTTTGGTGTGTTCTAGTACATGTTTTATCTCCTTTTGTGTTTGTTCAGTGTGTCTTTGTGTTTGTTTTCTTCCATCTCTGTCACTCGCACAAAAGCCCTGAGGCCCTGTACCCTCTGGGCATGGGGTCTGTGCCGTTAGCTGCTTCAGTAATCCAACCATGGCTGATAAGAAGGAATATGTGTCTCCTAATTTAAAAAAGGCACGTCAGATTTAGTTTTTATTCAATATAGGTTTTTACGTGTGGTGACAGTGTTTAACCAGGTCAAATGACACGTATGACTTTTTTTTAAATATCAAAGACACAGAACAAGAATAACTTTGCTTCTGCATGACAGGAAGTTGGCCCAGATAACACCCTCCTGTGAATTTCTAACTACAAAACAATGAGGAGACTGCAAGACAAAGAGAGGCCAGCCCTGTCCCTGCTCCAACCACTGCTGTCCCTATCTGTCCCCAACATAGAAATTCAGAAGAAGAAAAAAACAACATACAAATGCTCTGACTGGAAAAAGGCCTACGTGATCCTGGCCTTGTAGGCAAAATATGAGTCCTGAGACAAAAGTTTGCAGGTCCGGTTGGTGCCAGCTCTGTTCACATCAAGACAGAGGAGAGGACAGACCTGCCAGCAGTAGTATGACTATAAACTTTGATGGATTTGAACTATACATTATATCACTTTTACTGGACCATCATTTTGAATAAGAAAATAATAATAATAATAATACTTTATTTATAAAGCCCTTTAAAACAACCACAGCTGCCACAAAGTGCTGTACATATAAAATCAAGAACATTTAAACACATAAAAACAGTTGTTAAAACATTAAGATCAATAAAAGTAATAAAAACAGTGCAGAGTAAATTCAGTGTGTGCTAAAAGCCAGGGAGTAAAAATGTGTTTTTAAAAGAGTTTTAAAACTGGACAGTGAAGGGGCTCGTCTGATGGGAAGAGGGAGATCGTTCCACAGTCTTGGAGCAGCAACAGAAAAAGCTCTGTCCCCTCTGAGCCTCCGCTTAGACCTCAGCACCTCCAGGAGCAGCTGATCAGCTGATCTGAGGCACCGAGCAGGAGAGTATGGGTGAAGCAGCTCAGAGAGGTAGGATGGAGCAAGACCATTTAAACTTTTAAAAACAAATAAAAGAATCTTAAAATGAACTCTAAAATGAACAGGCAGCCAGTGGAGAGAAGCCAGAGTGGGGGTGATGTGCTCCCTTTTTTGAACTCCAGTTAGAAGCCGAGCAGCAGCGTTCTGGACCAACTGGAGGCGTCTGAGGGAGGACTGGCTGACTCCAAGGTAAAGAGCGTTACAGTAATCCAGCCGAGAGGTGACGAAGGCATGGATTACTGTTTCCAGCTGCTGTTTTGTAAGGATGGACTTTACCTTAGCCAGCTGTCTGAGGTGATAAAAACTGGTCTTGACCACCGCTCCAATCTGGGACTCTAATTTAAAATCACTGTCCATTTTAAAACCCAAGTTAGAAATAGTTTTCTTTACATGTGGTGCCAGAGGGCCCAGATCAACAGGGCAAGGTTCACAAGAGCCACTAGGACCAAACACCATCACTTCTGTTTTCTTTTCATTGAAATTTAAGAAGTTTAAAGACATCCAGGCTTTGATGTCTTCGAGACACAACAGAAGTGGCCTAATTGAGGGGGCATCTTTCTTTTTTAGTAGCATATAGATCTGACTGTCGTCAGCGTAACAATGAAAAAAGATCCCATGCTTTCTAAGGATTGATCCCAATGGAAGCAGGTAAAGGGAGAAAAGCAGGGGACCTAAAATAGAGCCCTGTGGAACCCCAAAACACAGAGGAGCAGTGGAGGATTCAGACCCAGCTATGTTGACAGACATGGTTCTGTCTGCTAGATAGGACCTAAACCAGCTCAGTGCAGTACCACAAATACCCACTTGGTGCTGTAAGCGTGATATTAAAATGTTATGGTCCACGGTATCAAAGGCAGCTGTTAGGTCGAGCAGGACAAGAACCACATGTTCACCAGAATCATTAGCCTTAAAAATATCATTAAAAACTCTGACTAGAGCTGATTCTGTGCTGTGGTGAGTTTTGAAGCCAGACTGAAAAACCTCCAGGATATTGTGCTCATCCAGAAAACATTTGACCTGTGAATATACATCCATCCATCCATCCATTATCTTTACCCGCTTATTCCATTTTGGGTCACGGGGGTCGCTGGTGCCCATGTCCAGCAATCACTGTGCGAGGGGCGGGGTACACCCTGGACGGGTCGCAAGTCCATCACAGGGCCACATAGAGACAAACGAGACAAACAACCATTCACTCTCTCATTCACACCTAGGGACAATTTAGAGTTATCAATCAGTCTAACATGCATGTTTTTGGTCTGTGGGAGGAAACCGGAGTACCCGGAGAAAACCCACGCATGCACGGAGAGAACATGCAAACTCCATACAGAAAGGCCCCTGGACCGGGGTTTGAACCAAGGACCTGCTCGCTGAGAGGCAGCAGCTCTACCAGTTGCGCCACCGTGCTGCCCTGTGAATATACAATTTTTTCTAAAATTTTTGAAATAAAAGGCAGCTTGGAGATGGGCCTAAAATTAGCCAAGACAGTTTGGTCTAGGCTAGGCTTTTTAAGCAGGGGCTGCACCACAGCATGTTTAAAACTTATTGGGACAACACCTGAGGACAGACTGCTATTGATAACAGCACTAGCATTCTGGCGCCATCATAAACTTAAAGAGATAGTTTAAAATGGGGTTATCCAGAAAGGATATGTGTAATCTTATGTAGATGGCTCTTTAAACAACCTCACTTTGAAAAAAACCAAAAACCCCTGTTTAGTTTTGACCAGGTTGACAAACTTTGAATTTGAACTTTGAACATTGAATTTGTCATAGCTAGCTGCAGCCACAGGGTGAGAAGCTCGATCATCCGGGAGGGACTCAGAGTAGAGCCGCTGCTTCTCCACGTCGAGAGGAGCCAGTTGAGGTGGCTTGGGCATCTATTTAGGATGCCTCCTGGACGCCTCCCTGGTGAGGTGTTCCGGACACGTCCCACCGGGAGGAGGCCCAGAGGAAGACCCAGGACACGCTGGAGGGACTATGTTTCTTGGCTGGCCTGGGAACGCCTCGGGATTCCCCCGGAAGAGCTGGCCCAAGTGGCTGGGGAGAGGGAAGTCTGGGCCTCCCTACTTAGGCTGCTACCCCCACGACCCGACCCCGGATAAGTGGAAGAAAATGGATGGATGGATGGATGGATGGATGGATAGCTGCAGCCACGACTTGTTCTTGCAAATAAACAATGTAAATATTCTGTGTGAAATTGACAGTGGTGTAAATATTTAAAAAATTCCATCTACATAAACCACAAGTAGATTTTTAAGATCAGAATTATTTTCAGAGGGCTGCAATCCATTTAGGTTTCAGATCTTCTTTGACCAGCTGTTGGCTCATCAGTTCTCTCATAATTAAACTCTAGACCTTCAAAACCATCTGTTCATCCGTCCATCCACTGTCTTTACCCGCTTAACCTTTTTTGTCACTTGTGCCCATATCTGGAATTCACTGTGCGAGAGGCGGGGTACATCCTGGACAGGTCCATCACAGGGACACATGGAGACAAACGAGACAAACAATAAAGTTAAGTCAGGCCCTCTGGACGGTTTCTTTTTGTTGAAGCATTTCATCTTTCATCCAAAAGACTTTGTGTCTTTATGAAGTCTTTTGGATGAAAGATGAAATGCTTCAACAAAAAGAAACCGTCCAGAGGGCCTGACGTAACTTGGTTGGATTTTTCTACCTGGATTATTGGGCATGACTCAGGAAATAACCATTCACCCTCTCACTCACACCTAGGGACAATTCAAGGCTCCAGTATACTCGCACATCCTGTCAGCCGCGCGGAAACAGTGCGCACTGTCCGCAGAGGGTTGAGACTTCATACTCAAGCGTCCACCCTGAGCGGCTGTCCACAGGCAAGAGGCGTTTACCTTCAGGACAAATTGAGTTTGCCGATTGGTCATTTGCTGACACGCCTACTGGATTGATTGACAGGTCGTAAAAAAAACAAAATAAAACGAGAGCTGGCAGCCCCAGCTGCAGCAGTGTTCTGTGTTTATATGTTGTTGATAAAAAGTTCTAAAAAAAAACAACAGGGAGCGCTGGCCCTGCAGCCCACACATCAGACCAGCCCACCAGTAAATCTCTAGACCCTCCCACAGCCACGCTGGACATGATTTTAATTTGCTCGTGACAATTTCCTTAATTTCTCACAATTTCAGTCATGGCGTCAACGGAGGAGGAGGAAGAGGTCGCTTGCCTCTTGGAAAAAAAATAACAAAAGAAAAGACCATTAAACCAGATCAGGGATGAAGAAGGGGAATTTAATACGTTGGTGTCACATACAAAACAGTCCGTCGCCAGGCAGTTTATTGTGTGACACCGAGTATGTGTACGCGGTCGTAAAAATTTGCACAGACATGCCCTACTTGCGTCCGCTTCAACGCTAATCCAGTATGCGCGAACCTCCGTGGACTGACGTACGCACGAGTATACTGGAGGCTTTAGAGTTACCATTCAGCCTAACTGGCATGTTTTTGGTCTGTGGGAGGAAACTGGAGTACCCGGAGAAAACCCATGCATGCACAGAGAAGACATGCAAACTCCACCCAGAAAGGTCCTGGGCTCGGATTTGATCTGGCGACCTTCTCGCTGAGAGACAACAGCCCTACCAACTGAAGTAGCGCTGTCATTTCTAACTCTGGCCTGGGCCCCTGAAATTCAGGCCGGGTCAGGTCAAAATAAAGTGCTGGATGGGTAGGCCAGGTTGGTCTTGGGCTTTTGATATGGTTTTACGAATCATACAGCACAAATAAAACTAAACAAGGATGCAACAATATAAAATTGTGTTAAACTACTTGAGGAGGAGGAAGGTTCAACCGGCCAGTTGAAAGAGATAAAAAAAAGTCCAGTTAAGCTCAGATGGATCAGATGGATCAGATGGATCAGATGGATCAGCTGATCACCGGCTGTGCGACGGGTGCGTCTCCACACCTGCTGTTGTCTGCGGTGAAGGAAGAAGCAGCATTTACAAAAGCCGACATCAATTAAAATAGCTTGTTCTATATTTTTCCAAATAATTTTGCTCTAAACATATTTTTGTTCATCTGTAAAATAGCCCAAGTTGATTTTTGAGGCCATTCGTTTTGTATGTTAATATCCATTTAATGAAACAAGAAATCTTATATCTTCCTTTCTTTGAAATATGATTTTAAAGTATGTCAAACTGATTTGCTTTAAAAATAAGTAAAACCTTAATAAAAAAAAAAGTTTTTTTTTTTTTTTTAAAAACTACGAGCTCGGGTCGGGCCGGATCGGATCTTTTAGGCCCGAATGCAACTCTAAACTAAAGTCTACAGATCCCCACTTCTTCAAGTCTGGGCTATTGTTCTAAAGCCATGATCACAGACCATAAATAGTCCACTGACTGAACGGGGACTATTGTTTATGAATGGAGTGTAAAGTGGGCAGATATAACAGTGAAAGGTTAAATGTAACTCTGTGGCTTCTCAAGTGCCCCGATAAGGTTTTTGGCACAATACAATAATAGTTCACAACCTTCTAATCAGTGACGTGAGCTAATGTTGAGTGTTTTTTTTATTTTTTTATGATTAATTTAACAAAGAGCAAATTTGGAATCTAGAAATTTACACAGACTACTGTTTTTTTTCTTCAGAAAAAAAAATCTATACACAAACTCTGACCCAAAGTTTTCCTCACTAATTATTTAGTTATCCATAAACGGAGCTGCAGTGAGAAGTTCTCCGATTCAGCATTGTGCGGTTTTAATAGATCTTTATTTATGGCAGTAGTTGTTTGTGCTGAGTCGTGTTCATTTTGTTATGACCAGACAAAGTATTGGTTTACATAATCCAGATTCCAACAGTCTCCTTTACATCCGACTAAAACACACACCTGTTTGTTTCAAAAATAATAAAACTGACTGAACCGCATGCAAAAAGCACAAAGCTGAAAGTCCTGGTGTATGTTCACTGATCCAGGTAGAAAAATTAACAAGGTTAAGTCAGGTCATCTGGACGGACTCTTCCATCCAGATGACCTGACTTAACCTTGTTAGACACAAAGCTGAAATTATTTTCTATATTTATCTCACAAAAACTTGGACTCTATTTTGTGTAAATTTATGATGTGTTTTTATTCAACTTCTTTATTAAATTGCAATAAATGTGTCTATTGCAGGTGCAGAGGAAAAGACCAACGCAGAGCTGATTGTTCCCATCGGTTCTGTGGTCATTGCTATGTTCTTCTGGCTGCTGATTGTCTTTGTTATCCGTGGAAGAAAGAGAGTAAGTAACTTCTTATTCTCATCATTCCTTTTGCCACACTCCTTTTTTCTTATTATTTTCCACACAATAAAAAAAAAAGATAGTCGAGCACATGCACAATCACACACCCTTTGAGAACTGACGGATTAGAAGTGACTGGTCTGGCTCTTTGTGGATGCTCTCCTTTGTATCATCAAATAACGAGTCCACATTCAACTCGCATAGGTCACGTGGGCCTGCAGAAGGGACTGAGCCATCTTTATAAGAACATCAGCAGAACCTCTGAAATGTGCAGAGAGTTGGTCGCAGTGAAACTGGAAAGCTGTGATAACTAGTAGCTCATTAACTCTCACTTTACTGTCTGATGGCCTTTTACTTTTCCTGTCTGACTCTGTTTCAGCCAAATGGAGGGGATCTGAAGACAGGATATCTATCCATGATCCTGGACTCCGAGGACATGCCCATGGATGAGCAGTGTGAGAGGCTCACGTACGATGTCAGCAAATGGGAATTCCCTCGGGACAGGCTGAAGCTCGGTGAGAAGTGGCTGTTTATCAGATACCACATCAAGCCATTGTGTTCAACATCAAATCCAAGTTGTGAAGAGATCAAAACCAAATCATTATCTTTGTTCATTCACCCAGAACTCCTCTTAATAGTGTCTAGACTCCAAATCGTATCCTCCTTATTCCTCACCCCCATGCTGCCGTGAGTGAATTATGGCCGCGACTTTCGACGTGGACCAGAACTGGCAGAACTGGTTTATGTGCGAATAGTACGAGCTAATGTAGTTTCTCCGAACATTGTGGATTAAATTTAAACATGTAGGAACACCACCTGCCAGACCTCAAACAGGACAATATAATCATACTGCTGCCTGCTGAGGACGAGGGATGGAGGACGAGCTGAAGAAGTGGCTGCAGATTACATCTACTAGCATATTCAGCTACATCTACTAACATATTCAGCTACATCTACTAACATATTCAGCTACATCTACTAGCATATTTAGC